AAGTAGCCTGGGGTCTAGGGACTTTTCTCAGAGGTAGAGCACTTGCRTAGCCCTGGAGTTCTATCCCCAGCACGAGGGGGAAAAAGCAAACTAAAAAAGGAAAACTTCATGCACATATTCTTTCATATAAAATTGGGAATAAATTTGTTGAATCAACTGAAAAACAAAACAAAGCAAATGCCAGCTGGAATTTTGACTAGAATAAAACCTTTTGCTCCTTACTTCTCTGCTCCTTCCATCAAATGTCAAAAATGCAATGGGGGCCAGGCTGTAGCTCAGTGACACAGTGCTTGCTTAGCACATGTGTGGCACTGGGTTCAATCCTTAGCATCACATTAAAACAAATAAAATAAAGGCATTCTGTCCATCTACAACCACACACACACAAAAATTAATGCAATGGGAGAGCCAGGCATGGTGGTGCATACCTGTAATTGCAAGTTTGAGGCCAGCTTGGACAATTTAGTAAAATTCTGTTTCAAAATAAAAAAAAAAAAATGAGGGCTGGGGTTGTGGCTCAGTGGTAGAGCGCTTGCCTGGCACTTGTGGGGCACTGGGTTCCATCCTCAGCACCCCATAAAAATAAATAAATAAAATAAAGGTATTGTGCCCATCTACAACTAAATTTTTTTAATAAAATATAAAGTAAAAAGGTCTGGGACTGTTTCTCAGTGGCAGAGGGTCCCTKGGCTCAATCCTCAGTACTGGGGGGAAATGCAATGAGAGGCACGCAGTTCTGAAGCTAGGATAAGGCCCTGGTCGAGAATGGAAATAGTTAAGAACTCAGGAGAAAGTCTCCAAGCTGTTGATTTTCTTTTAAACATTGGCCATTCAGAACTGTCTTTTCCATTTCTTTATGTTTGCCTGTTTTATTAAGGGATTGCATCTCAGGGGAGGAGGGAAAAAGAATGATCAAATATAAAATCTTTTAGCACCTTCGGTCTGAGTAATGACAACCTGAAGCATCAGTGGCAGGCAAAGGCTCCTCACCCCCCTGGTGGCCCGTTATCTTAACTGCAGGCAGAGCGCTTCAGGAAAACTGCCTTTGTCAAGTTGAGCTTGAATATCCAAACCCTAGAAGGGCGGTAGGGCATGTTTTGAAAACTTGTTTGCTTTGCCTATTTCCCTAAACATTCATCCTGCTTCTTATCCCAAAGGATCCTAGATTCCAAATTAGTCGTCCAAATTAATGAGATTTTCCAGTAATAAGCCTGAGACTAAAATGATGGAAAATCCACTAAGTATAGGCTATCCAACCACCTCACCATGACTTGATCCAGACCTTTGGGAGGAGGGAGAGGAAAGGAGGAGAGAAAGCTGTAGATGCAACCTGTGCCGGGCAGTCCTTCCTTCCTGCGCCACTGCCCTCTTCCCTGGACCTAAGGACCTCGGCACCCAGTGCTTCCTGCCTCTGGACTCTGATCCCTATTCAGGCGGAGCTAGGCTCTGCCTCTGAAGACTACGTAAACCTTCAGGATAAATTCCTGGAAACTCCAAAATAGGGCCCAGAGTGGAGGTGGGGGGCATGTTTTCTGCTCAGTTCTGGGAAGCCATTTGAGAGGTGGTACCCAAAGAAGGAAGAAGGGTAGAAAAGGCAGACAAAATGCCCATTGTACCAAGCCTGTCAATTTCCTTTTTTCATCTCTTTATCAGTGTTTGTGACTGAGCTTCTTATCAACAGGAAACGCCTGCCTGAAGGGATGAGGCAGGTCCAGGGGGACTGGACGCCAGGGACTGGGAATTCTGGGTAGTGCGCTGCTGTGGGGCAGCCTGGCTGGGTGGCCTCTTGATTCCCAGGACCCAGGCTCTTTGCCCTGGCATATAATGACTACTTCCACGTACACAGGAAGAGCGCACCAAATAGGCCCTGAGACCAGAGGGTCTGCAGGAGGGAGAGCTGAGAGGGACTCCAGCCCTGACCTTCTGTGACCAAGGACAAGTCACCAAACAGCTCAAGCTTTAAAGTGAGAAGAATAGTCTTTGCCTCTAATCCTACCAGTCTCTATCCTTCTGAGGAGAGTCCAAGTACCTGCCAAAGTCACAGATCAAGAAATTTCTTGATAGTCAGTCCAACTGACCCTTCTGATGTGTATACCTGTGAGCCATGAGAGACTGGTGCCCAAGCCTGGGACAATCAAGTGCTTAACMCAGACTTTTAGACAAAAGAGAGAAAGGGGACTGTAGCACTGATTGACCTCTCTGTGTGTGCCAGTTACTTTAAAAATATTGGTCATCAAATCAGGCATAGTGCCAAGCACCTGTAATCCCAGCTACTCAGGCAGCTGAGACAGGAGGACTGCAAGTTGAAGGACAGCCTAGGAAACTTCCCAAAACCCTGTCTCAAAATAAGAAATAAAAAGGGCCAGGGATGTAGCTCAGTGGTAGGGCATTTGCCTAGGATGCTGCACCCCCTGGGTTCAATCTCCAGTCCTAACATGAAAACAAAAATTGATCATAAAACTCGGATCCTGATCTTGCATATCTGTCTCTCAAAAGCGAGGCCAACCAAGGGCCAGATTTCCCAGGAGGCAAAAACCAAATCTAAGTGCTGAAAATAAATGCCCCAAAGGGATATCTGAGTGAAGCAAGGTTTTGTGGGTGGCTGAGATGCACAGGTTTATCTATGTAGACATTTTTCTTCAAACAGCAGAAGACTGAATAGAGARCAGAGGAACTGGCTGTCCTGGTAGAAGGGTGCGGAAGGAGATGGACGACCTGGCTTCCTATTTCTTATCTTCTGCTTACTGGTAGCCCTTGAGCAACCTGCTTTTAGTGATGGTGGTGATAAAGGAAATTCCAGTGTCTCTTGCCCTGCTTGTGTCTCCCGGACAACCCTACTCTCCCCCTGCTTCATCATTTGCTCCCGCAGTTAGGGATGTAGGTCAATAAGAGTGGGTGGGTGAGAAAGAACAGAGAAGAGACTCATCCAGACATGACACCCCGCAGGGCAGCAGTGACAACACTTGAACCTGAAAACTGCCTGAAAATAGACTGTGTGTCTATGACATTATGCAAATCATATGCAAAGTCAAGAAGCCCTCTGTCTCTATTTCTAGCAAACTGAATGTGGCCCTGGTGGAAGCAGCTCGTTCCAAGAGTCGCCTACCCAGAGTGATGATTGCATCAGTTCCAGCCCTGGGACGCTGGACTTGGGATGTCCACCCCCAGCCCACTCCCAGGGTATGCCTTCTAGGCAGGGGGATTTTGCTATCACTTGGGTTGTTAATTTTAATGCCAGGAAGGATATGGGGCAAGCAGAGCACCATATCCTTGAAGGCTAATGTGAGGCAGGACTGACGGTGGATAGTGCCTGGGAAGGCAGAGAGAACTGTCCTTAAGAACCTGGGTACCAGGCATGGTGGCTCACACCTGTAATCCCAGCAGCTCGGGAGGCTGAGGCAGGAGGATCGTAAGTTCAGAGCCAGCCTCAGCAAAAGCAAGGTGCTAAGCAACTCAGTGAGACCCTGTCTCTAAATAAAATACAAAAAAGATCTGGGGATGTGACTCAGTGGTTAGGTGCCCCTGAGTTCAATCCCTGGTACCCCCAAGATAAAAAAAATAAATAAAAAGGGGATGGGGATGTTGCTCAGTGGTTAAGCACCCCTGGGTTCAATCCACGCTACCATAAAATAAAATAAAATAACCTGGGTTCCACGAGCCCTTAGCAATGGAAGGGTGGGCCTCAGCAGCAAGGATCATACTTCAGGGCCACATTCACCCCACTTCAGCATGCCTTAGCACCCATCACCCCTCATCCTCTTTGTGGATAGGTAGGGAGTTGGAGAAAAAGGGCCCCCAGGAAATTAGGGCAAAGCTCAAGATCAGAGGGCAGCAAATTTTCTTCCTTCCAAGGCAGTTCCCTAGGGTTCCACAGGAATTGGCTCGGGGACGGTGACATTACAAGGACTCTATTAACCCCGCAAAGCAATAGTTCTTTCCCATCCCGCCCAACGTCCGCGGAACTCTTTGCTGGGCAGTTTTCCTACTGCCTTTCTCCCTGCTCTGCAACCACAGTGTGGCTATCAGGGTGCCCACYGGGACCTGGCAGGCTCAGGGGGAGGGAGAAGTCTGCCGGTGCAGGATGCTAAGATGCGAATATCCCCAGCACGGGTCAAAGAGGGCGCCCGAGTTCTCTGAGAAGGCACTGTGTTGGGGGATCCGCGAACCCAGGGCGGAAGGCAGGGCCCCCTGGGGGACTACAATCGTGATAGAAGGAATAGTGACGCCTCCCGTGTTTGTCCTTTCGTCCAATATAAAGACACAGGTTTTCAAGACCCGGCAGCCCCCCACCTCAACCCCCACCGCCTCTGGGTCCCGTCTAGGCCCCTCCCAGCTTCTTTAAATATCTGCCTCCCCAGTAGCCTGTCGCGCTCACAATTTCCGGGGAGCGTGGAAAGGGGAGTGACATGCTTTCTGAGCTTAAGGTGCCAGGGTGGGGAGCTTAAGATCCCCAGGGATAGGGAGTTTCCCATTCTGGGGTGTGGACCGATTCCATACAAGGTGGGGATCCCATTTGCCATTTGCGGAGAGAACTGAAAACAGGGAATTGAGAGCGAATCAAGCTGCTTCTGAGGACTCGGAGATCTCCCTGCTAGGTATAGTTTTCGGGGACAGTCCCTGCTAACCAGAAGGACAGCTGAGCACACGCAAGGAGGCTGGCGCACCCGGAGGGGAAGGAGATCTCCAACCTGCCGGGAAAGGCCAGCCGCCCGGCTCTGCTCGGGGGAGGGAGGCAGCCTCTGGCCAGACCCGAGGCCAGCAGAGGGCGACGTGGCCCGCGCGCCATCGCACCGCTCCCAATCGCTACAGATTGGAGTCCCCGTGAGGGTCTACTAGGGGTTTTCAGAAGCTGTTACTTCTCCAGGGGCAGTGCAGGAACGTGGAGCCTGGGGTCCTCTCCTTCCTGGTCCCCACTGGTTCCCTCTGTATTTGTGTGAGGGTACTGCTACAGATGCATTGACCTGGGAACACTCAACGTTCAATCATGGTTTATTGAGGGCCTACTATGCACTAGGCACAAGCTAAATGCTCCCACAAACAGTATCTCCAGGTTAAAAAAAAAAAAAAAGTATGATTCCCACCGGGACCATCTCCTCCACTCAGAAGCATTTGTAGACTATTTTCCAGTGTGACCCCTCCCTCCCTCCACTCTCCCCTGTCACTCAGTACCTCCTCCCTCAGGCCTTTGCCATTTAGGGTTTTTCCAAGTTTTGGGGAGCTACTGTCTTTGGTTTCTGATTGTGGAGTTTCAGGAAGAGTTTAACAAATTTAGTGGACATAAAATCTTCCAGGTGGGAGCCTGTCCCGGACTAGGTGGGTTCCAGTGACCAGAGAAGCTGCGAACTCTGCCCTCGTATTTCAGGATGCTGCTGCTTTCATTTTCAGCCAGTTTCACTTCCTGGTTCTTCTCCCTGCCTTGCACAATGCTGGGAGAGCCGCCTGGGAAACCTCTGCCACGGAGTGGAGGAAGACACACCCCAGTGGTTCATCTAGGCTAGGGAGAGCGAGAGCTTCCTTCCCCAAGGGCTGAGGACTGCTAGGCCAGGTCTTCTTAAGCTGAGGGCTGCCCTTGTCCTCAGCCTGAGACCCCACATACAATATCCCCTGAAGTTCAGCCTCCAACTATCTCCCTCCACACCATCTACCCACCCAGGCTCCAGGGTCATCTGCTCAGCACCCAGACATACACCTTGACATTTCCAAATGCTGAACTTTCTGTGTGTTTTTCTAGTGTCACCAAGATCCTCTGGGCCAAGGATATGGGACTGGGCCAGTATGGAGCAGAACCTGGGTGCTGGAGTCTTCTTGGCTAGAGCCATATTTCTTTTGCATCTTGCAGGTCACACAGGAAGCTGTCCCTCAGCCCTGAGGCAGAGATGACCAAGTCGCAGGGTGGACGGGAGGCTGGCTTAGCAACCAGAAGGCCCAGGGCTGTCTGAACCCAAGGATGGTCACTAGCATGGCTTAAGGCAAGAATTGGAGCTTGCAGAATTAGACCAGGAGGCCCTTCAGACCCTCCTAGACTCTGAAGCAGTCATTTTCACATTCCCATCTTGAGGCAAATTGCCAGCATAGGGACAGGAAAGACTGATGAGCTTAGGTTTCACATAGGCTGACATTAAAAGAAAATCAGAGCTAAAGAAACCTCAAAGGACATCAGGACCAAATCTTTCAGTATATTGATGAAGAAACAAACGTCCTAAGGCAGTAAAGGTCCAATCTGGTGACATGGAGCAAGTACCTAGGACCCAACTTGGGTCTCTGGACTCCCACTGGAACCTTCCTTCCCACCCCCTGCCACACATAGCTCAACATCCTCTCAATTATCCTAAGTCCTGGGCCTTACCCATCTGACCTGACACCTCTCCACTTCCATATGCTCCTGTCATACCTCAGCAGGACCCCTTGAATTTTAATGCCCTAACAAGTCAGCTAGGACAGCCAGGGGTCACGGAGTGGCAGGATCAGCCCAGCTCCTCCAGACAGCTGGCATTCAGCTAGCTGGGGCCTTGTGGGTGAGACATAAAGTCCAAGGTGTCATGCTATTGCGATGTAAACCTATAGAGGGCAACTGAGGAACCTGGGTATTTGGAATTTGTGTCACAGGCTGAGGCCTGGCGGGGTAGAGCATCTGCTGAAGGCTGGACAGGGCCCTGTGCCACCCTGGCAGCTCTGGTGGGGCAGTGAGGTTGATCAAGGGCAGGGGAAATATAGGCCCAGGCTCTGGGCCCGGGACTGGGATTCCCTGGCGAGGCTGTCCTCTTCTGCATCCCTGCCCTGGGAGTGGTAGGGGGTACACCCTCCTGGCATGGGGGGTGGAATGGGGAGAGAGCCAGGCGTCAGGGAGCCGGCCACTTTGAGCAGGCCAGACGGCGCGGGATCAGATTTCAGCCCAGCTGTATTTTTGACTGGATGGGCTGGGGGCCAAGCTGGGAAGGCACAGCTGCCCTAGAGGGGGCACCCCTCCCCAGCGCATGCACACACGCACGCAAACACAAACACACACACACACACACACACACACACACACACACACTACCTCTGCCCAGATGGGCCACAATCCCCTGCCACCCCACACTGCAGGCAGAGCGAGTCCAGCGACCCTGGGTTAGTGAATCACTTTGGGCTTCTCTGGACCATGGCTGAGTTTCTGTAGTGTCTTCTTGATGCGCAGCGCGGTGAGGCGGGCGGAGGGCGTGGGGTACCAGCACTCCCGCATCATCTGAGCCAGGCCCGAGAGGACCTGGAGGTCAGCAGAGAGGCAGAAGAGAGGGAGCAGGGACAGACAGGGAAGGTGGAAAGGAGGCCATGAGGCAGATGGCTCAGAAGAGGGAGACATAGCAGGAGAGAAGGGGCAGGAAGAGAGAGATAATGGAAGAGACAGGAGCATGAGAAAAGGGAAGGAGGTAGCAGGACAGAGAGAGAGCACTCCGGTCATTAGGAGCCCACAGTGTCTGTGGAGCACCTCACCTCAGCCCCACCTCTACCAGGACCTACAGGGAAGGCAGCTCTGAAAACCTCCGGGCTCCCACGTCACCCCCCTGCAGCCCAATGCCCAGGGCGTGGCAGTGACTCCCAGCTCCTCCACCAACCACGGCTGGACAGTGGAAGTCTGGGCGGGGTACTGCCCCCAAAACGCTAAGTCCAGGGAGGAACAAATCCAGGGAAGCTCAGGGTCAGCCCCACTCCTCTGGTTCCTGAGAGTGAGTATATTTGCAGGAATGCATCCTCGTGGCTTTTTATGGCTATACATGTTGTATAGGAATTTGTGTGCCTATGTGTGCAAATACATGTGTACATTTATTAATTCTTTCAGCAAATTTTATTAGACCTTTATTGCCAGGCACTGGTATAGGTAATAGGGTATAAAGAGAGCAAAAGAGGCATGCTCTTTGTCCTTATGGCACAGATGTGCATGTGTATGTGTTTAAGAGTGTTTGAAAGCATATACATGCCGATATGTGTTTATACACAAAGTGTACATGACTTTGTATGAGTATGTGAAATGTTTTGAGAAAAAGAACAAAGACAAACGACAAAAACGTCATAGCAGAGATCCTCTGACTTTTCACAGGCAAAGTGAAGGCTCTCAGAATCTTASGTTAACCAGAGGGCTCTAGGAGGATGGGGGCCCACAGGCCCGGGATGTGGAGGGGGTACCCAAGACAGCTAGAAACTACCCAAAGAGCAGAGGCCCCAAACACAAGTTCCTGAGCCCAGAAATCCCAGCTGTGAGCCCCACCTCATGCCATCCCAGCCCCAGCAGAGTCCTCACCGGGTCTGCAGCCAGCCGGTTGGGGATGGTGGGGGTTTGCTGATCAACACACACCACCTTCTTCATGTCTTCAAAGCTGGGGTCATTGGGCACCACATCATAGAAGGGTGGCCTGTAGTCCTCCACAATGCCTGGAGATTGAAGAGGGATTGGGCCATCACTTGAGACCTCAAGGAGGCCAAATAGCACCCAGAGGACATCTTTGCTCAGCTYTTGTCCTAGGGGCTTGGAAACTAATTGCCTGGTCATGTCACCCTGAGGGGGATATTATAATATAAATATATTTATAATTAATAATAATTACTGCCTTTGTTTTGAACTTCTCATTTGTCAAACATTGTACTCTAAACATTTCATATGCATTATCCTGTCAATTCTTAGGACAGCCCTGTGAGGTTGGTACTATTAATGCCCCCATGTTACAAATGAAGAAACCAATGCTCAGAAAAGTTGAGCCCCAGGTTACACAGCTAGTAATAGCAGTCAAGACTGAAGCTCATCTTGCTGGATTCCTAGGCTACATCTTGTTTCAGTTATTCCTCTCTTTCCTTCCCTGGCCCTGACTAACTCTGATGCCCCATAATAATAACACCTAGGGTTTACTGAGCACTTATTATGTGCCAGCTACTGTCCCAAGTGCTCTGTCTCAAATCCTCACAGTAGCCCTAAGGGGTACTATTAGCTCCACCTTATAAGCCAAGAAATGAAGTCCAGAGAGTTTAAGAAACTTGTCTAAGATCAACGGGTTGTAAGTGACAGAGCTAGGACTTAAGTCCAAATATCTAACCTCAAACCCCAGGCTCCTGAGCCCCATGCTCCACTTAAAGGAGATAGCAGGTTGATCACTGGCTGAGGATGGCAACAAGGACAAGAAAGGGCAGAAAACACCTCTCCTAAGGGAAAATTATTTTTACCTTGGTCCAAATAACATCTATCCTCCATCAGGAAAGGCACAGGCCTCCACTGATCCCCACAGCCAGCAATGCCCCCCACTCTGCCCGGTATTATCCCAAGCGCACGGTCCCTGGGAGCTTTCTAAAAGCAGTGTCTGTGAAATTGCAGGCAGCCCCATCCTGTTCCCAGGTCCCCAGGCTGGGGCCACAGCCACACAGGCCACCACCTCAGTGAAGCCTTCACCAGCTGCTCTCCCTGTGGCGGGTTTCCAGGCCGCCCCTGTGCCTCTTGCCCCTAATCAGTGTCAYGCAGAGGCCTAAGCGTGTCTAATGAGCCTTTAATCAGTGCCGGGGCTGACACCAGATTACAGTGTTTATAATGCGCTGGGAATCTGTGTGAGGTGACAGAGCTTCCCCTCTGCTTCAGCAGCCCACAGGCTGCCTCCTCCTGGCCCTTCCTTTCCTGCCGGCAGCCTGGTCCAGGAGGCCTTGGCTGTGTCCCAGTGCCCCCCTTCTTTCAACTCCAGCCTCTTACAGCCCACTCTGGCAGCTCGAGCCCAGGAATCTCAGCCTCTTGAGAGTCTCCCAAAGGGATACTCCCTGCTGTCAGTATGATCTTTGAGGGCAGATGAAGTCTGGCAAGGGGCTGGCTCCTGGCAGATGCTCAGGAAATAAGAACATTCCTGTCCTAGGGAGCAGAACTCCAGTCATGTCCTGAAGATTGTCCCCAACCTGTCAGGGCTCCTGGCATCCCTGGCCATTGGCCACCTCTGCAAAAGCTGACTATTCACCCAATCCAGATGACCATTCATCGCCCATCTACCCCAGAGCTCAGAGGGCAGCCACCACAGAGCCGCAGAATGCAGGTGCCTCTACCTGCTCCCAGCTTGACTAATCTGAGTCCCCTTTGGCAAGCCACAGTACTAATGATGCCATTGTAAATGCAGACACTATGATGGCCTGCATTCTTGTGGCTAAGGAAATCAAGAACCAGAGAGGTTTAAGTGTCCCAATAATAAAGAACACTGGCTCAAGAATCAGATTGCCTGGTTTTAGATCCTGATGCTGTCTGGTTGGCTACACTTCTGTGCCTCAGTCTTCTCATATATGAAGTGGGGGTAATACTATATTAGGCACTTATCCTATCACAACAATGATAGCCACTAATGTTTAGCTTTAAAGATTGTTCTCAATACTTCCCTTGGATTATCTCAATGGTTAAGAAGCTATTTTTATTCTTATTTCATAATGAGGAAACTGAGGCACAGAGAGGCTAAGTAACCAGGATCATGGCAAAATCTGGAACTAAACTCAGCCAATTTGATTTTAAGCTGATGCCTTAATCACTAAGCACTACTACCTCCCTGCCAATGCAGGACATTTAAATAAGCTGATACATGTAGAGGATATAGCACATTTTTAAGCTCAATAAATGTTAGCTGCTATTAATATTTCTGTTATTATCCCTAGCCCAGGATTTCATAGCCAGGTTCACAGACTCAGATGAAACTGAAAAGGTCCCTCAGATGAACCATTGCTGAGTATCAGTGAAGGGATGCCAGGTCTAGCCACAAGCCCCTCAGGTCATGGGCATCAGCCATGGCAGAAAAAGCCCCCATCTCCACCAGCCTTTCCCACTCTTGTGTGTAGTGAGCCCTCACCCACCATTGACAATGGTTCGTCGAGCAATTTCCCACAGCACTAGACCAAAGGCCCAGATGTCAGTCCACTTGTAGGACTCGAAGCAGTCAGTGCGGATCTGCTCATCCAGCACCTCGGGTGCCATGTACCGCTTGGTGCCCACTCTTGGGTTATTGCCGATGTCCAGGTAGTCGCTGCCCTGGGAATGCATCACAGCCAGGCCTGTGGGTGCAAAGCCTGTTACTCCTGCCATTCATGCTGGCCTACACATAGGGCTGCCAGCAGAAGCTGGGGTCCAGGTCGGGTGGGGATGGGAAGAAACAGTGAGGGATAAGCAAAAGGAGACCTGCACAGAGATGGGCTAAAAGACAGAGAGTGGCTAGAAGGAAAAGTTTCCAGCTTACCCACACACACACACTTTTTTTTTTTTTTTTTTTGCACTGAGGATTGAACCCAGGAGTACTTAAACACTGAATTACATCCTCAACCCCCCCTTTTTTTTTTTGTATTTCATTTAGAGACAGGGTCTCACTGAGTTGCTTAGCAATTTGCTGTTGCTGAGGGTGGCTTTGAACTCATGATCCTCCTGCCTCTGCCTCCTTAGCCGCTGGGATTACAGGCGTGAGCCACCATGCCCGGCTACCCTTTACTATCAAGTGTGAATAGGCAAAGCAGGCTTTATTATGCCCATTTCACCTTAAGTTCGGTGCTGGGGAGCCATGTAGTCAGGGAAACTAGGAAGAGAATCCTGGTTCCTGGTGCCCTGTCCCTTTTTTCCCTAACTCCTGGGGCCAGAGTGGGTGGTGGAAGGAATCTGGGCTTGAAAAGAATGTTAGGAGAACCCGTGGGGGCCTCTCGCGGAGGTGAAATGAGACTACACCTCTTCAAGTTTTAAAGGGCCAATGGCAGTCCACACCCACCAAAACAAGCAAAACAGAGGCAGAGCGCGCGAACCCCGCCCACCGGCGAAGGGCCCGCCCCCTGCTCGGGCGGCTCACCCAGGTCGGCAATGCAGCATTGCAAGTTGCTCTTGACCAGCACGTTGCGACTCTTGAGGTCACGGTGGGCGATGGCTGGTTTACCCTGCGTGCCAAAGATTTCCACATGCAGGTGGGCCAGGCCGCAGGCCGCGGACACAGCTAACTTCAGGGCCAGCTGGGGCTCCAGCGTTTGCCTCTGCAGAAAGTCATAGAGGGAGCCGTGCTCATGGTAGTGCGTGATGAGCCACAGCTGCGTGCTTGAATTGCGGGAAGTCATGTCCGAGGCGATGAAGCCTGTGCACAGAAGAGTCAGGATGGCTCAGACAAGGGGCTAGGGAAGAGGGAGACTGGACTGGTTAGGGTCAGGGTAGGGCTGGGAGGCAGGGAATGGGCCAGGTCAGGGCAAAGCTGGGGCTGGGGTGTAGGTTGATCAGACTTAGATCATAGGCCTGAACTGGAGTCAGACATTGGGGCTGAAGATGGGCTGGGAGTATTTCAGGGTTAGATTAACCTCTGAAGGTCTCTGGGCTCCAGCCACAAGTGTAGGGGGATGAGAGCCCCAAGGCTGGAACAGTGCCCCATCCCCCTTGCCTAGGATGTTGTCGTGTCTGAGCAACACAGTGTTGTAGATTTCTGTCTCCCGAAACCAGGACTGTTCATCCCTTGAGGAGAAAATCTTGACTGCGACGCTCTCACCATGCCACAAGCCTCGCCACACCTCACCATAGCGTCCCTTTCCTGATCCAATGCCAGAGAGGAGGGGAAGGGTCACACACGGGGCACACAAAATCTGGGCAGAGCCCCCTCCCCATCTTATGCTATGCAAACCCCACCTGCAAAACCTCTGAGATCTAAACTCAAATGCAGGCTACCCTCAACCACCTCTTGTTCCAACCCCACTCCTGCAGAAGAACCTAGCCTTGGCCCATCTCCAGCCCGCTCCGTCCAGCAGAATTTCTTTTCTGACCCAGGCCTGGCCTCAACTATGACTCTGGAAGTCAAGAGTTCTCTCACTCCTCCAGGCTTATGGAAGCACTCAGTCCCCGTTCCCTGGGCTCACCCACTGCTCACCCACACACTCCACCAGGGCAACCTGTCGTGCCACGGTCCTCTGCACCAGAAAGGGGAGCCCAGAGCCACTGCCGGTAGTACAATCACTGTCCAGGAAGTCCTGGGGATACCAAGAAGCCACTGAGAGGCTGCTCGCACCAGCCATGGCCCTCTTCTCTATCCTCAGCCTGCATCCTGCTGTTGTCATTGCATGTTCCTTACTCGCCCAGCTCCCTGCCTGCTCTAACCTCCAGGTGTCCCTTTCTAATTCTGTGGCTCCTGGCAATCCACCCTCCACCCGGGATCCCAGTTCCCCCAGGCCCATACCCCCAACATGCTATCTCCCTGCTCGGATGCCTTCAGGATGAGACTGGACTCGCCCAGGTCGCTGTGCAGGCCCCGCTGTTTCTCTTGCCTCTGCCGGATATGCCACAGGCCCAGAGCACCCAAGGCCACCAGGACCAGCAAGGCCAGCACGGGGCCCAGGATCAGAGGAAGCTGACCATCTATTCCAGGCTGCTCCGGAGGAGGTTTAGTGGCTGGTGGAAGGGTACATTGAGTTCCAACTTCCACCAGTCCAGTTCCCCACCTTGGGTCAGGTCACTCTGCCAGTCAAATCCCAGCATCCTGCTCCCTGACCCTTTATGGGCCACAGCATGAGAGGAAGCGGGGGTCTGAGAAGGTGAAGAGGGGTTGCTGGGGCCCCTGGACATACCATTCAGCACCAGGGACACATTGCGGTTACAGAAGGGGCTGAAGCAGCAGTAATGATTGACAAAGTCAGTGGGGCGTCCCCTGCAGAGCTCCTGGTGCAGGTTCCCACAGCCTCGATGTTCCTGGGGGTGCCTGCCCTGCTCACGGACCAGCACTACTGTGCACCAGGCCCCCTCGCAGGTAGGCCCACTGCAGTGTGGGTTCTTGCATGTGCAGGTCACCAGCGGGCCCCGAGAGGGCTTCACAGGGTCACCTGGGAGACACAGGAAATTCAGCCACTCTGGGCAGAGCTCTCCCAAGGTGAACTCAAAACCCATTTCTGTTCCATTCCTCTCCCTTCTTATCCCCCAAACAAATCCCTTGAGGCCTTAGTTCCTTACTCCCATCCTCTGATCATCCCTCACTCACAGCCTCACCCTAATCAAGGACCGATGAGACTGTGAGAAGCAGACTTCTGTCTGCTGTGTGATTGTCAAGCCTCCTCGTCCAGCTCCAGCCTCTCCCTACCGATACCCCACCTTCCACCCTAGATGGAGGTTCCCACCCTGGAGTCTGACAGAGCCCCAACCTGCAGGTTTGTGCCAAGAGGACAGCAAAGGAAGGTTGGGGCAGCAAGGAGCTTAATCTAATGGAGCCTCTTTGACCCCCCCACCTCCCACTCCAGGCAAGCTCCCACCTTCCTTCCCTCCAGTTCTTCAGATTCAGCCACTGCAGATTTGGGCTGAGCAGAGACCAGATAGCCCTTTCTCCATCCAGGCTCCTGTTCCCAACTGCCCCCTCATACTCACCCTGGGTTAGGCCTAAAGCCATCAGCAGCATCAGAAAGCCCCTTCTGGGGGGGCCCAAGGTCATGGTCCCTGGAGAGAGTAAGAGAGGAGGTAAGATCTGCAGAAAACGTGACAGCCGCTGACTGTAGCTCCTTCCTAGCAGGAGGAAATCACTGGGAAGTTTTTTGGGGGGAGGCAGGGAGGCCACCTCCCCACTACGTCTGGCTTTGAGGCGGGGCCTGCAAGGGAAGTCCTGGTTCACTTCCCCATGGAAACCATCCTGTGAGAGGTGAAGGGTGGAAAGCCATATTGAAGTGATCTGTGAGCTTGAGGGAACCCAGCTCTGCTCCCCTGCCCCTGAGCTCAGATTGGAGGCAGGCTGGGAGGCTGCACAGGGCTTTGAGATGGGGAGAATAGAGCATCTCCTCAGTAGCCCCCCTTCTTTCCAATGCCTCTTGCCCACACCCTCCCAGCCTCCACCCCTGCCCATCCCTTTCCCAGTGCCACCCCCTGCCCCACCCCCACTGTGGCTGCCTCAAACATAAACAGGCTCCTGTCTTCACTTCCTGCCATTCAGGGTCCTGCTGAGCCAGGAACAGGAATCAAGATTGTTTAGATTGAGGTCTGGATAGAACAAGCAGAGTCACGCATAGCAGGGAATTAAGGGCATATTGTCATAGCAGGCTGGAGTAGCTGCAGGGTCTAGGGGCTGAGATACAAACATGACAGAATCCTGGGAGGACATCTTGGAAATCATAAAATCCAACTCCTGGTTTTAGAGAAGAAGGGACTAAGGCTCAGAAAGGGAAAGAGGCAGGCTGGGGCTGGGGCTCAGTGGCAGAGTGCTTGCCTCGAATGGGTGAGGCACTGCGTTCGATCCTCAGCACCACATAAAAATAAATAAACAAAATAAAGATATTATGTCCATGTATAACTTAAAAAAAAAATCTTTAAAAAGAAAGGGAAGGAGGCTTGTCCAGGGCCAGTCAAGACTCAGTGGCAGTAGCAGTTCATCACAGGTGTCCAGACTCCCAGTCCAGTGCTCATTCCACTGTTTTCTGATATAATCGTGGTAGCACGTGTCTGAGCCCTTGAACCACCAGCCATAGCTTGGACAGCATGGAGTCATGCCAGGCATAAAGGAGCTTCTCTGCCACCTCAGCAGAGTAAAAGAGAGCCATTCCCTAGCCTAATTCTTGTCCCTTGTCCTGGGAAAGGGTGGGGGAGGGCCAGAGATGTGGGAGGGGAAGTGAAACACATTTAGACATTAAATATTTGACCTTCCATGACTGGCTGGGGTTGGACTTTTCCAGAAGTTTGATGGAGAATGTTAAGGGTAGTAATTCTGATCTATAAAAGTCCCCAACTCAGAGCCTAAGCAAACTAGTGCTTTAGAAGCCTCCCCACTCTTCACTTCTCAAAGCTTCAGACCAGGAGGTATGGGCTGAGGCTGGTCAGACAGTAACAAGGACTTTCTGAATGGCAAAGAATGTTCAGGAATGTCTAGGGACTGGCTCTGGAGTTAGCACAGCTAACATGAGGGAGCTTTAGCCTGACATGATGAGGCTKTAGGGCTGGGCATATGGCCACCTAGGCTGCAGAAGGTCCATGGTCTAAAWACAGCACCAAATGAAGACTTAAGACACTGAGGCTCTGAAAGTGGGATGTYTGGGTGGGGGGCTTCATGGTTCTGGCTGGTGGCAGCTCTGGCCTTCCTGCCTGGGCTTCCTCTGTCCTAGAGGCCTGGGCTGGGGGAGGAAACAGAGCCCTGGGCTGCTGCAGCTATGTCCCCAGCCTCTGCCTGACCTCCTCCCTTTTGTCCCTCCAGTCAGTCAGGACTCTGGCAAGCCCTCTTCAGTGGGACTGGTGGCTGGATGGAGAGAAAGCCCCAGATGAGATGAATCTGCCCACTGGGGTAGGTAAGGATGCCAGGAAGCCATCCTTAGCAGCCTTTGCCCAGAAAGCTGCTGAGGAGAGAGTATGAGGCAGGAAGAAAAAAGTGGCCAACAATAAACATGGCATCTGTCCTAATTCTAGGATCCTCTACCTAAGCTTCCACTTGTGGACCATCACACCCCCCTCCACCCACTCACTTCCTCTACTAGACATCCCCTGCAGTGAGTTAGGGATGCATGTTTTCTGGTCTCACCCCAACTGTAGATTCTATTTGTTTTCTTTTTCTCCTCAGTGCTGGGGATTGATCTCAGAGCCTCCCACATGCTAGGCAAATGCTAGGCAAATACTCTACCACTGAGAGACACCCCCAGCACCTGCCCTGCCCCCTCCAGATTCTGATTCAGTCTTTCCGGGACCAGCAAGAAACACACATTTTTCAGAAGTTTCCCAGGGAATTCTGACCAGTTTGTGTGGGTGCCATGCTTTGAGAAATGTATCCAACAGGAAGTTAAGATTGGCTCCTAGGCTTCCATTTGCCCTGCAGAGTCCTGCTGGGTGAGTGGGCATGGGTGGCAAAGGGAAAGGATTTCAATCCTGCTCAGGGACCTCCTCAACTCCAGGAACAGACAAGTCTCAACACAAAGCCAGGGACTTGGTGACACTGTGGAGCAAGGATGGGGATGAAGGGTTTGCTCTGGTTGTTGGCCATGCACCAAAGGGCTGGCAGCATTTGCAGAACTCACCTCTGGTCTAATCCTGGGAATGCGACAGGGTAAAACTGGGACTGTGCAATTCCTAACTAAGCACCACGTAAGGTTAAGTACAGGAGGGGTCTTGAATTCTCACCAGGCCAAACTCAGAACTGACCCCACCCCCACACCATGATTTGCCTTGAACCAGATTGTAGCACAGACATCTGGGACCTAGCAGTATCCTTTAACTTCTAAGCAAAACTATGAAACATCTCCTACAGACAGAAGCATCACTGTTATTGGTCAAAAAACACAAACCTTAAACCAAGTTGAAACAGTAGCTTAACACTATGAAATAATAATAGTTAACTTTCCCTGAGTACTAATTATGTGCCAACTACTGAACTTTAATGGTTTATCTCATTTAATCCTTTACAATAATCCAACAAGGAAACCAGGGCTCAGGATGGTAAGCCAAACGTGGTTGGTTTGGTTTTTGTACTGGAGATTGAACCCAGGGATGGTCTACAGCTGAACTACATCTCCAGTCCTTTTTTAAATTTTTTTATTTTGAGTCAGGGTCTCACTAAATTGCCCAGGCTGGCCTCCAACTTTTTAACCTCTTGCCTCAAAAAGCGGGGATTACAGGTGTGCACCATCATGCCCAGCTCTAAATGTCTCTCATATATATACATATATAAATAATATATGTATCTTATGTACATAAGATACATATATATGAGTTGTAGATGGACATAATACCTTTATTTTATTATTTTTATGTGGTACTGAGGATCAAACACAGTGCCTCACACATGCTAGGCAAGTGCTCCACCACTGAACTACAATTCCAGCCCCTCCAAATGTGTTTTGATAAACTTAAAAATTGCTGAGAGGGGCTAGGATTGTGGCTCAGCGGTACAGCGCTCGCTTAGCACGGGTGGGACCCGAGTTCGATTCTCAGCACCACATAAAAATAAAGGCATTGTGTTGTGTCCATCTACAAAAAAGATTCTCTCTCTCTCTCAAAAAAAAAAAAATTGCTGAGAATTATGCTGGGGTTGTAGCACAGTGCTAGAGTGCTTGCCAAGAACATGTGAGGTACTGTGTTCAATTCTCAGCACAGCATGAAAATAAATAAATAAAGGTATTGTGCCCACCTACAACTAAAAAAAAAAAAACAATTTTAAAAAAATTGCTGAGAATAAATCCTGTTTTGGTCATTGTTATTCCTCCAACTGTTTGGAATTAGGTGAGTCCCTTAAAGGAGGAAAAGGATGGTCTGGGACCCAGCTAACAAATATTCCACTATTGTCATCAACTGGTACCCTTCCAGTTTAATTGCAAAGACAGCGTTGCTGCCCATCTGTGTATAGTTAGTGTTTGAGTCTCAGGTGGGGTAAGCCAGAATGTGGCTGGAAGGTAGCTGTTTCTTCTCAGTGCATCTGAGGGACTGATAAAACCCACTGCCATCAGCAGAAAGGCTCAGCACAGCAGTGCTGCCTGGCATCAAACTCCACCATCTTGCCTCAGTCTCACTTCATTATGTCTGACCTAGACAGCACAGGACCAGACTGGGCTGTGCATATCAGGCTGCCCTTACGATTCATTCACAGCATTTTATTAGCCCCTCGTAGAAGTGCAACAGAGCAAAAACTAGCCTGGATTTTAGGGTCTCAGGCAGAATGTAGAGGCAGCACCGTAGGGTACCTCCGCTTATCTGAGGGAGATATTTTCCAAGACCCTCAGTGGATATCTGAAAACATGGATAGTACCAAACCCTACATATACCATGTTTTTTCTTATACGTACATACCTATGCTAAAATCTAATTGACAAATTAGGCAGAGAAAGAGATTAACATCAACAATAAAATAGAACAATTGTAACAATATACTGTAATAAAAATTCTACTTTCACCTTTTCACTTGAAGGAAGCATTTAACACCTTCTTTTGGCATATCCACACTGTCAGCATCGTTACCCTTGCACTTTGAGGTGGTTACTAAGTAAAATAAGGGTTACTTGAACACAAGCACTGCAAAACCTCCTCAGCCAACCTGACAACCAAGATGGCTGCTAAGTGACTAATAGACAGGCAGTCTATAGAGCATGATGTCCCAGGAAGGAAGGACTAGGATGATGCAAGATTTCACCATTCTTCTCAGAACAGTGTACAATTTAAAATGTATGAATTGTTTATTTCTGGATGTTTCCATTTAATACTTTAACACCACAGTTGACTGCAGGTAACTGAAACCTCAGGAAAGCAAAACTATAGATAAAGGAATCTGACTACTATATAGCCTAGAAGTTAGGGCTTGGTATCATGTGGACCTGAGATCAAATCCCACCTCTGACACTTAGTGCTGTAAGATTAGAGCAAGTTATTTAGCCTTTCTGGGTTAGGCTTCTCCTCATGTAAAATGGGACTAGTAATAGTGTTTATTTCATAGGTGTAAGTAGTAAAGTTATTTAGCAGATTACTAAGTAGTACACAGTAATCACTTAATCAATGCTACCAAAACCCCACTCCTACTATTTAAACCACTCAAGATGCACTGGACAAGTTGTTCAAATCTGAACCTGATTAGGTTGGGCATAAATTAATCCTTTTTCTGTTGGATTGTGAAGAGGATTAAATGAGACAAACTATATCTACAGGTGTGCATAGTAAATACTCAATAAATGATAGCTACTTTTAACAGCCCAATGACAGAGGAGGACAGGTGAGAGGGCAGGTACTGGGCAACTGAAACTGAGCAACTGAGGAGAGACCTTAACTCAGCCAGAAGCTGTCTATAAATAGAGGATGAGCGCTACTGCCCATTATGGACCCTCCTTGGAAAGGAAAAGAAGGAGCCGACAGCCAATCCAGGGACCTCAGAGATTTCAGTGTCCAGGCAGACTGAAAACCTGGACCCTGAAGGAAGAAAGCCACGGTATGGGAATTATGCCACCATCCAGGGTTGGAAGTGAGGCTTGTGGGAAGGAGTGAAAAGTGTCGGGTACCTCAAGCAAGAGCTTCAAAGGCTAGTCCGAGGAAGGTGGCTCCTAGAGGAGGCTCAACAGCAATGAAAATGGACACCCTCCCTGGTCAACCCAGCGCCCTGGAGGGACATGTGAAAGGCAAGGCAAGAACGCTTCTGCCCACTTCATGGATGAGGATAGGAAAAGAGAGAAGTGACAGCCCCCATGTCACCTCCAGTCTTCGATGTACGCAGACAGCGCATCCTAAGCTGGGACTGGCCCTACTGCGACCTCTCCGAGAAGTCTTAGAGATCACTCAAGCAAGGGCTCACTGGGGCGGGGGTCAGGCCGCCGTCTGGCATCYTGGCCGCCGCCCTGGACTCACCTTCGGGCCAGCCGGCACCACGCGAGCGTGAGCGGGCGGGGGCCGCCTCCTCTCCCCGGTGGCGGCCGCCGATACACGGCAAGCACTGGAGTGGGGACCCGGGTCCCGGGGTCCGGGCGCAGCCCCGGACGTGCTGGGGCCGGGCAGGGGTTCGCTCGGCGCGGCTGGCGCGGCGGCCTCCCGGGACTGGAAAGGGGGCTGGAGCAAAAATGTTTCTTATTCCAGCGTCTTCCTGCCTGGCCCGGCTCCACCACTCCCTCCTAATAAACCGTTTCCTATTGCCCAGCTCGCCGACCGGCCGCCCGCTCGACCCCAGCCGAGCCCCGGGACCAGCCGCTCCCCCGCGCGGCTCCCAGACCCCAGCGCCGCCGCGGTCCCGGCCACCCCCAGCTCCGGGTCCCCGGCTAGCGCCCCCGCCCAGCCTCCCACATCCGCCTCCCCGAGGGGGCGGGCCTTGGACTTGCGCCGTGGGGGTCCCTTGGGGGTCCCGTGGGGGTCCCGGCCCAGCGCCGTGGGGGCCAGAGCTGAGACAGGAGGCACAGAGTGACGGCTGGGATGAGTGGGGGCGCTCGAAGCCGCTGAGGGAGCAGCCTGGAATCTAGCGTCCATAAGGGGGGCATCTAGGGAAGGACAGGAGCAAGGGTGGCAGGCGGAGGGATGTTACCTGTCCTTACCCAGCCTTTAACCCGCGGTTCTGGGTCTAGGAGTGTCAGAGGAGCGAGGGCAGAGTTTGGGGCCCGCAGGGTTCGAATAAATTTTGGCTCCGCCCGCTGGGACTTCTCCCTCGGTCCAAATCTTTTCGCCTCCTCCCTCCAGCCCCTGCACACACACCCTGTCCCCTCCCCTTTTCCGCGGCCGCCCCCGTCTGCCTTCGACACTGGGGTAAAGCGGCCCAAATAGGGCGGCTCTGGGTCTCTGATGAGGGTGGTCTGAGCTCCTCCAGTCCGCAGCATTGCGGTTACAAGGACGCGCTCCCTACCAGGGGTGGCCAAAATGGAGACACTGGGAGCTGCCTTGGATTTTCCCCGTCCAGGAAAAGCCCCAGTCCGCCAAAATGGAACTCTTGAGGTAGGGAACTGAGCCTCGCACTGCTGAGACCAGGCAGCTGGGGAGGGGAACAGAATGGAGATCAAGAGAACAAGGGACTTTCTCCTGCCCTGACATGTTCTGCGAGTGCAGACCCTATCACGCTTTGCTTCAGTCACTGAGAGTGATCTGTGGCAAGATTTCATTCCTAGCCTCCTGGTTATCCAAACAGACTCTGAAGTCAGACTGGGAATCCAGGTTAGTTGTATGACCTTAGGCAAGGGACACTTCTCCATGCTTCAGCCCCTCATCTGTTAAATGGTCATAATAAACAGTGCCAGACTCCTCTGGTTGCAGGCAGAATCAAAGGGCATGATGTTTATCTCAGTCTACAGCCAAGATGCTGCCTGGCTGAGCCCACACAAAGTAGGCCCTCAATGAAGGAGTTTGTTAAATAAGTTAATATATATGAAAAGGCTGGAGAGGAAGTGGCCTCAGTGCCCAGTGGAAAAATGAAGGAGTAGACAGACCTCTAAGGTGTCTTTCTCTAACGTAGGGATTCTGCAAGATGGGCCAGTGACACCACCCCACACACTGACAGGAATAGAGGCTGGGGGAGACAATGGCCAAAGGCTCAGACAGGCATCAATAGTTGACTGACCTCACTTCCTCTGCTGAAAGCCTCCCCATCCCCCACCCTGCAGCTGCTTCACAATTTGTGAGCCTCATGAATTCCCAGAACCCTGACACACCCAAATTTCAGTGTCAGGACAGAACCGTGTCCTTCAGCCAATAGGAAGTACTATGGGATTACACTATCTGCTCTTTCAGATTATAGTGGCCACTTTGGCACTCTACTACTACACAACTGGGAGCGTGGTGTGTGACCATCTTTTACACCCACACTCCTCTCTGCCCTGCTTTGAATTCTGGTAAACCTCTCCTTCCCCCAACCCATGGATATCTGCTCTGGGCCAAGATTCCATGGGATACCCATAGCCCAAGTCCAAGGCCTGACCTCTTGGGGAAATGAATGTGGGAGATCATCAAGGCAGTCAAGAGCTGAGAGTCACTGATGGGATTCAGTGGGAATGGAAGACTTTATGTGGGCAGGGTTTATGAAACAGGTAAAAGTAGTAGGGTAGGTTGGGGAGGAAGAAGAGAGGACCCTGTGTGGAAGGGTGCTGCTCATGGGTGCTGAAGTCTCCCCCATCTTCTCAGGGCACTGAGCCCTCTGGACCATGACTGGTGCTGCTGGGGGGCTCTTGCAAACCCCATGCCTCCCACTGCACACAGAGAAACCTGGGGGAGCTGTCAGAGAAGGGACACAAGAGTTGGAGAAAGCACTGGAGCCTCAGGCCAATGAGGACATGGAAAAGGAATTACAGGCTGTGTCCAAGTCTTCAAGAATTAATTGCTCAAAGGAACCAGCTGTTCCTCATATTCAGTGAGGACAGAACAAGAGGAAACAGCCCAGGACTTCGATTGAGATTTAGATACACAGAATTTCCCAGCAGTGCCTGACACAGKCCTGGAGGTCCTGAGAAGAGAGTGTGGGTGAACCTGGAACAAGAGTCTTCTTTACAGATGGCTGGTGACACAGAGTCCAGTGTGAAAGCAAGAAAGCAAGACAATGGACCATACTTTCTGGTCCAGCTTTAAGTATGGAGTCCAAGCATTTCTCTCTCTCTCTCTCTCTCTCTCTCTCTCTCTCTCTCTCGAACTGGGGATTGAACCCAGGGTGCTTAACCACTGGGCCACATCCCCTGCTCTGAAAAAAAAAAAAAAATTTATATTTATATATATATATATATATATAGAGAGAGAGAGAGAGAGAGAGAGAGAGAGAGAGAGAGAGAGAGAGGGTCTTCTTGAGTTGCTTAGGACCTCACTAAGTTGAGGAGGCTGGCTTTGAACTTGGTGATCCTCCTGCCTCAGATTCCCAAGCAACTGGGATTACAGGCGGGTGCCACCATGCCTGGCCACGCATTATTCTTCAGACCAGGGCAGGGCTGGCCTCATAGGAGTGTGAACAATGCAGACATTCGGGGAAACATGCTTTGTTTAATGCTCTGTTATTTCTATCTCAAGATTCTTCATAATATTCTTTGTTGTGTGTGCATGGTACTGGGGGTTGAACTCAGAGGAGCTCTACCACTGAGCTACATCCCCAACACTTTTTATTTTTTAAAAATTTTTTGTGGTGCTGGGGATTAAACCCAGGACCTTGTGCATGCCCGGAAGCACTCTACCAATTGAGCTATATCCCCAGCCCACTTTATTTTTTATTTTGAGACATAGTATCACTAAGTTACCAAGGCTGGTCTCAAACTTGCCATCCTCTTGCAAGCAAGTCTCCAGAGTCACTGAGATTGCAGGTGTATGCCACTGTACCTGGCCATAATATTCTTAATAATGTCCAAAAGGCCCAGACTTTTCATTTTGCACTGGATCCCACAAATTGTGTAGTTGGTTCTGCACCAGCTAAGTAGGAAGAAAAGGGTGAGCTGGGCTTTGCTCCACTTATACTGTAGATTGGAAGGCTGAGGGTGTAGCTCGGTGGTAGAGGGCTTGTCTAATATGTGTGAGGCCCTGGACTTGACATCCAACATTGCAAAAAGAAAAGAAGAAAAATTGCAGAGTGGGAGAACATGATTAGACAATATAGGGATTTTTCAAACATGAGACAGAAAACCAGTAGAACAGGCTGCCTGAGGAGGAAGAACAGTGGATCTAACTCTAGGGGAAAAGAACAGATACCTGTAAATTTAATTGATCCATCTATTCAACACCCAGGAGAGATTCTTAGTGAGGTAGGCTGAATGAGTTTTGCCTGGAAAAAGAAGAAGAGGAAGTGACCTTCCAAGTGTCCTTCAGCTCAGGACAGAAAGTACCATAGTCTCCTGAAAAGAGTAACTCTGGGTCGTGGCACATGGGTTCTGGGCCTGCATCACTTCTTGGAACCTGTTTCCTCCTCTGTACCCTAAGGGGTTTAGACTAGAGAATCCTGAAGGTCCCTCCTGGTGTATGTAATACTCTTTGACATTAAGATTCAGGAAACTGGGCTGGGGTTTTGGCTCAGTGGTAGAGCACTTGCCTAGTATGTGTGAGGCACTGGGTTCAATTCTCAGCACCACATAAAATAAATAAATGAAGATATTGTGTCCATCTATATTTAAAAATATATTTTAAAAAATTCAGGAAACTACCTGGACTGTAAGGCTCTATTTTCATAACTCAGGTCAACAGGCATTTGGGTTGGTACCAATGTTTGCGGGGGAGAGAAGCCAGGGCCCTGCCCAGCTCCTCAGGAAGAGGCTAGCAGACATGGGCCAGACTTCTAGACTCTAAGCCGCCAAGTCCCCTTCCTCTTCCTCCCAGTTCTTCCAGATCTCCTGTAGATGTATTTGTCTCCTCCCTGCTCAACCTTCAGCTCTTGGGATAATGCATCTCAGGATGGAGCCTCTTGAGGAAGGGATGGAACATTAGAGCAGAGGAGGCTGGAGATTGCAAGGTGCCTGTGTGATGCGGGTATCCTTCGGAACATGGTTCCAAATGCCACCTTCTCTCCAGCAGTGCTCCTGGTTCTGGATCACCCCTCCCCACATGCTTCCCAGAACCCTGAATTCTCAAACTCTAGCCCACCAACTGGTTTGGCTGCTGAGGAAGAGGAGTGTCAGTGGAGAATCCAGACTGGGAACTGGAACACCACATGCAAGCCCTGGTTGCCATACCTGTGGGAAGGGGTTGGTAATTCCTTCTCTACCACATTCTCAGACTAATGAGAATGTGGGATGTGAGAAAGTCCCCCACCAGCTGTGAAACTCACACTCGCCATTTTGGTTGGTTTGAAGAGAGAGCAAAGCTGTTGGGTAGGAGAAATAGCACAGAAATGGGGAGTCAGGAGCCAGAGGCAAGGCTGGGGATGGTAGAGTAGCCCCTGTCTCCTCAGCTGCTCAAAAGTAAGTAATAAGTATCGCCTCCTCTAGTAGCTACCTGAGGGGTTATCCTACAGATGAATATCAACGACTGGGGAGGCTGTAAAGTATAAGGCAGCCATTCTGAAATAGAACCCAAATAAGCACAGGGTGAAATAATAATATTCTGCAAAAGAGTATAAAATGAGAAGTAATTGTACTCATCCCCAGACCCTTCTCTCAAGGTTTCAGCTGTTCATTTCTCTGACACTTCCATAACTCTCAATGTGTGTTCCTGGGCTGTCTCTAGATCTTAAAACATCAGACATTATTCAAAAACTTTGGGATTTAGGTCATTTAGATTGCTTTCCCTCTAATTACTGATTGTTTTAATATTATTTTGAAAATGTAAGTCATATAGCCAAATTCTTACTTTCTATTCTATTAATACTAGGCAGGATCTCCTGACACTTCACTGATGAAGAACAGTGGCATCCACCCCTTCCTTGAAGCTACAATTTTGGTGCAAGAAGGGAAGCCCAGAGGGTATGATGGCACATGCCTCTAATCCTAGTGAGAGACCCACCTCAGTAATATAGCAAGGCCCTCAGCAACTTAGCAAGACCCTGTCTCGAAATAAAAAAATAAAAATAAAAAGGGTTGGGGATGTGGTTCAATGGTAAGTACCCCTGGATTCAATCCCCAGTACCCCCTCCCCACAAAAAAAATCTGTCAATTTGCTGGGATGCCACTCTTGTTATTGGGGGATGTTCAGGTGAAACTCATGACAGCAGATGCCTTCAGGAC